CGGCAAGCAGGGTCTCTGTGCAGCCTCGAGTCCCCTCCCTGCCGGGGCGCTAGCCCACTCGTACCTGGTGAGGGTTCCAGTCACTGTCGAAAATGATCACAGTGTCAGCTGACTGGAGGTTCAGCCCGAGCCCCCCGGCCCGCGTGCTGAGCAGGAAGATGAAGTACTCGGAGCCCGGCTCGTTGAAGGTTTTCAGCAGCATGCCCCGGTCCTCCGCTTTCGTCGTTCCTGCAGGGCACGGGGAGAATGGGGTCAGCAGGGGCGACCACGCGGGGAAGGGGGGTGATGGAGAGGAGACAGGGGAGACACCTGCTTTGGAGCGCAGGGATAGTGCCTGCGCACGTCCCCCAGAGGCCTCCTGGGCCAGCGCCGTAATTGCTCAACACATATGCATCAGTGCGATTAGCGAGAGGTTCGGGTTTACGGGGACACTAGCGAATGCCACTCCTCCCACCTGGGGAGATGAAAGTGAGCACCAATGGGCTGCTGTGTCACCTGGGAGTAAAATGAGCCCAGTATGAGCGCTGAACCAGGTGGGTGCCGAAGCACAGAGCCTGGAACAGGTGACTGACCAGAGGGCTGGCGCCCGCCTCCATCTCCCTACAAGGGGCTTCTCTGTTCACAAGGAGAACCTGTTATAGGCAAGCACACAGGTGCCTCATAACAGGGCTTCTTCCCTCCAGGCGGGAATGGCTTTCCCTCTTCACGGAGCCATAGGGACTCAGGTGTGACCAGCCAAGACACGATCCTCAGCACCATGAAGAGCACAGGGGCACCGAAATTGCTGGCCTGCTGCCAGCTCAGAGCCAAGGTGCCCGCGGCAAAATCAGGAGTCATTTTTGGTGATGAAATGAATATTCAGTGCTTCTAGCTGCTTACCTACACATCACGACACATAGCATGGAGGCCCGATGCCCACAGGAGCCTGGGCGCCAGACGTGCCCCCAGCTGCCCTTTTCCGGGGGAACAGGCAAGGCCTGGAGCAGGGACGGGGCAGGCCCCACGGCAGAAGGGCCCGCCCGGCACCTTCACTCTCACCGCTGACGGTGGAAGACTCCATCTCACAACGTGCTGCTGAGCCCCCACCTCTCATCTGTTCTTTGCCAGAGCTTCTGCCCGTGACCACGTGGGTACTGTGCAGTTGTGGCCGACAGACAAAAGTCCCCTCCTCACCACGGGGAAGGAAAGAAACGGAGCAAATGAACAGATGCCGTGACGGGTGGGAATATGCTCTCTACCTACAGCCCCTCCTCTGAGGGTTGACTTAGCGACACAGACAGGGACCAGGGTTCACAAAGGCCTGGCCCGTGAAGGACGGGTGAGGCGGCTGGAGAGGCCGGGCTGTTCTGTTGTCAGGGGCACAGGGAGACATGCTGTCATTTGTGTTTGTAAAGGTGGCCCTGGACGGAACTCCCAAGACCAGACTGAAGGAAGGCATGACAGGTGTGAAAGGCAGGCCGTGCGTGGGGGCGGGGAGGACAGAGACCGACGGGCGACCAGCCAGCGACCACAGGTCTGTGGTCTGTGAAACCACAGTTCCACCAGCTGCACGGCAATAGACAAAATGAAGGCCCAGAAGTTTGGGGCATCCTGTCAGGCAGATGCACCTGGCAATGAGCTTCAATAAAAGCTCCGAGAAGCTGTGGGAAAGAAGCAACCTCCCTGTGTTCCACCCAGTGGCTCCCCAAGCTCACTTTTCTCAGGAGTCTGAGTGCTCCTGCAGTCGCAAAGACCAGGGCCTTCCTGGCCACCTGACAAGCGTCAGACCACACGTCCAGCATGCTGTCACCATCTCACTGAGCACCCACCCCCCCTCAGGAGCTCCCGTGGGCTGGGATAAAGGCCATGAGAGCACAAGGGTCTCAGACAAGCACTGTTCCCAGAAGAACTTGCTGTCATCCTGCATCCCCAGCTTCCCGCTCTCCCTTGCCTGCTACTCTCAGTGCACGTAGTTCCAGCGTGGGCTCCAGGCCTGACCAGTGACAGCTCTACAACCACGTGGCACTGGAGAGAGGGGCATGTGGCTCACAACAACCTAATGAGAGCCAGCCCTTGGACCTCTGAGGGAAAAGATGGGCTGCACCCTTTGTTGGGGACCATCGAGGACTTTGCTGAAAGAGCATCAGGGGAGCCTGGACAGGATGCCTGAGCAGGAAGCCAAGATGGAGATCAGTGGAGCCAAGAGCCTGAGAAAAGCTCATCAGTATCTTCTAGACACGTGGGTCCAGCCGTACCGAAGCAAGCATAACCCCTGAATACTTCTTCCTCATGCCCACGGGATATGGATTTCTGCTGCTTCTAACCAAAACACGGCTGTTGCATAAAACCCTGTGAACACCGGACCCAGATGTGTAGTGCGCAGAGCAGGAGCCTCATGTTCGGGAGAACGGGGTGTCAGACCCAGGCTGGCCAACCTCCTCGGCCAACCAGGCCCACAGGCCTGCACCACTGAAAATGGTAGGCTCACTCTTGATGCTAGACCCAAGCTCCAGGCCCTGCTCTGCCTTGTAAGGGACGGGGTACCAGCCAGAAGCTTTGGCAGCTGCAGATAATGAGTCCCCTCAAAAAGCGTCTCTCTTGGTCACACTTACCGTCGAGCCTGAGGTATTTAAAGCCGCGATATGCAAAATAATCTTCCATGATCGTCATGAGGGAGGTCATCTGACAGAACAGCAGCACTTTGTGGTTGGTGGCACGGAGTTTGGGAAGAATCCTATCAAGAAGCTCAAACTTCCCCGAGGCGCGGTACAGGTCCAGCCTGGGGAGCGGAGGGAGCGGGGAAAGAACGCACATAATGTTAACAGCGGTGCTTTGCAGACAGGCACAGGAGACGGCTCCCATCTTCAGGCTGACCTGAGCGCCTAGGCAGGCTGGTCATCATGATCATGGGCACAGAAGTGGCTTCCTAGGCAGACCCACTCACCCTTGTGGAGTTTCCGCAAAGTCATTTCAACCCAACTAAAGTATGCTCAGGCCAGACTTGATCAAGGGTGAGCACATGACTGTCGTCCAACTCAGACACTTTTAAGAATGAGAAGAGACATGATCAGCAATCGTGCTGGGACAGCAGGAAGCTAGGCCTCCTCCCCATTCCTTGAGAGAACCTCCAAGAGCAAAGGCTCACACTGGAGAGTGTCCACACCGCACCCCGTGCAGGGTTCAGGGCCAAAGCTGCTTTTCTCATTCACTCCAGCCAACAACCCCTGGTCTACAGCTGTGCAGACTGAGGCCAGGGGGACAGCGAGACATGGCTATGGATATGCCAGGGCCAGGACCTGAAGTCAACTCCGTGACACCCCAATTATGCAATTTGGTACAAAAGACACGTAGCTAAAGAACGTTTTAATCTTTTACTTTGATGCCTTTGTTCTTCACAGCAGTTTACTAGCCCAGAGAAATGGTGGTGGCTTTAGCTCCATAGCAAAGCTATTTGCAATGCTAAGATCTAGACGTAGAACCCACAGCCACACCTGGGCTTAACGAAGCCTGAGTTGGACTTCATGAACAACGCTGGAGAAAACACTCCCGTGACAAGGTGGATCAAATACCATTTCTCTTAGCGGACAGAGCGTAGGCTCAGAGTGGTTAAGAAGGCTGTCAAGGGTCCCAGAGCCCGGATGTGGCACGGTGGGCCTGGGGAAGCCAGCTCTGCCTCATAAGATTAATGGTGACCTACTCTCAAGGTATGGAGATTTTTTAGCCCCTTCTTTGGGCTTCTCTATATTTTCTAAATTTACTGCCACGAACACGGTGCCTCTGAAATTGGACAAAGGTCACAAGAGCGATAAAGTCAACCAAAGAAGTGCAAAAGACCTGCATGTGGACCGTGTGCCCACCCCCTTCACCGGGAAGCTTCTCACCCTTGCACGATGCCACCGGTAAACCCCAAGTGCTCGGAGAAGGACTCCTGCAACAGAATGAGAGATTGGTCAGGGCAGGGCAGGAAGAGGCCCCACACCTCCGAGCCCTCACACTGGTGCACAGAGGTCACCCACAGTGGCTCTGAGGCCACACCCAGACGCTGTACACTGCTTTTGCATCCCACCAACATCCCCTTCCTCAGGCTCCCCCAAAGAAAAGTAAGTCACAGGACAGCACCGTTAACCACCAAAATGTACGCCTGAGACCATTCTTGGAGCAGAGAAATGGAATCCCAGGGGCATCAGGGGGTTTGCAAAGATCCTGAGACCTTATGCCAGTGAGTACAGACATATGTGTGCAATTCAGAAGAATCCAGACTCTCAAAGGGTATGGTGGCCCCAAAAAGTTCTGACCCAGAGACTTCACGAAAAGGGAAGCTGCTCTCAACGTTCCAAACAGGAATGGCCCCTCCCACATCACTGAGCGGCAAAAGCTAGTATGCCAACCAGCAGAGGCAGAGGGACCCTACCAGGATTATTTGGGAAAATAACCACAAAGATGAGTCTCTGAATGCTTTCTGCAGCTATCTGGGGTTACAATAAGCACTTATTGTTCACAATAAGCACTTACACACAGAAAATCAACAGCAAGACAAGTACAGGCATTACCTACTCAAAGTATTATAAAGTATCTTTTAAAAAGCTGTCAGGGAGGGGCACCTGGGTGGCTCAGTCGTTCAGTGTCTGACTTCCAGTCAGGTCATGACCTCACGGTTTGTGATTTGAGCCCCAAGTCGGGCTCTGTGGCAACAACTCAGAGCCTGGAGCCTGCTTTGGATTCCTGTGCTCTGCCCCCTCTGCTCCTCCCACTTGCGACTCAGTCTCTCTTTCAACAATAAATAAACATTAAGCCTAACTCTGTGTGAGGAGGGGCTCAGCCCAGACAGATGCGGCTTGGAGGACGGAAGGCCTGCCATCCCTGGAGAAGGGCCTCTCCCCACCCCCCTCATGCTGGAACATGCACGTGGGTGGCTGCAGATCCTCTCCGAGCTGTGGCTGATGGTGTTCATCAGGGTCTTGGTGCCACCTTTGCCCTGGGAAGGCAGAAGAGAAGCTCCCATGTTGGGTCTTGTTCCTGGAGCAGATACTATGGGGACGGGAAGGTGGGGGGGTGGGAGCAGGGGGCGGACTCCAAGAAGGTACCCTCTTCAGGGAGGTGGTATGTACATGGTGCATGGGAGCAGAAGTTGGGAGTAGGGCTGGTCAGCCCCCGGGAGGCAGAGAGAGGGTCTGTGAGCCAGCCACTGTCAGGGAAGAGATTGCCTGGCACACCTATTGGCAGGCTGGAGTGACGCATGGAAGGGAAGGAAGACTGGCAAAGAGCTGAGGCTGAATGACAACATTGGTTGGGGGCCTGAGGAATTCAAACCCAGCCAGATGGGCCCTGATGACCTGGGAAGACCCGTGCTACAGAGAGAAGGATGCAGGGCTTGGGTATCTGCTGCAACTGCTCAGGTGAGAAAGGGCCCAAAGAAAACATGGAAAGGAAGAAATGGGGAGGTAGGCCAATGGGGAGGCATCAGGAGCAGAATCAAGGGACCCAGGAGGGAATTTCTGTCCTTACGAGGGGAGCTGGGGCGGGTGGGGTCCCAGAAGGTAGCAGCTCGCCCAGACCCCATCCACTTCAAACTTCACATCACCCCAAATGCTTTTACTGCCAAGGTGAAGGGGCTCAGTGGCCATGGCTGTTAAGCCAGTTCTTTCCCAACTGGAAAGGGGAGGCTTTCTGGAACAGTCTAACTAGCATGGGGCTCCACCCTGTTGACAGATGTATCTGCGGCAGGCCAGCATTTCATAAGCGGAGGACATCAGATAGTGACACACTGGGAGGGTCTCGGGGGAATCCCTGGAAATGGGCCATTGGGCTTTACTGAGCATGCCTGTTTCCCACCAGGTATGATTTAAACCGCAGCTATCTGATGCCCTTCAGATCACCACCAGACAAGGTCTCGATCTCAATGGTAAACTCCAAGGAGACAGAAGGCTCAGGTGGCGACAATGTGCTCAAGCCCCAAACACCTGGCCTGACCCCAACCCACCTGCCTTGGACTTCCAGGTGGGGAAGGGGAGGGGCCCGTGGCTAACCTTCTTGTCCTTCTCGGAGCCATCGGTGAGCAGCACCCCTTTGGCCTGCATGTGCCGGTAGAGCACACGCTGGAGCGCAGACATGTCACACTTGATGACATATTCCACCTGCAGGGGACACACGTCACCAGTCAGAGCTCAGAGTCTCTGAGCCTAATGCCCAGCCTGAGCCCATCACTGGCCTCTGAACCTCTCAGAGACAACCTGGCCCCAGGATACGTGTTCAAATGAGGGTATAAGTGGATGACGGTGAGGAGTCCCCACAGCTGGGGAACAAGGAGAGACAGGCTGTGGTAGGTACAGCGGGACAGAGAAACACAGACAGGACGTGCTGACCCAGAAGGGGCAACTTGACTACTTTCCCAAAGCTTCTCTCCAGTCCACCAGAAAACCAAGGGCAAGTAATGCATGTCCCACCGGGGGGAGGAGAGGGTGTCTAGGGGGACAGCTGGGGGACTGGGACCCTGAGCAAGAAGCCAGAGCCATCCTGCGGTGTGAGCGGGTTCATGAGCAGCCCACAGCCTCTAAGCACCGCAGGATGTGATGGGACAGGACCTGCCCAGGCGTCTGATCCACAGATGCCAGGCGGCCTCCCCGCTCTGATCCACACCCGCCTCCACTCTGCAGACCCAGCACGAGTGAGTGAGTGGCTGTCCTCACACCCCATGGACACTACAATGCCGAAGCGAGACCAGGGCCACGATCACCTGAGCGCCACCTGACCGGTCCTACGCCGGAAAACCCCTGGCACGACACTGCACCATGGCTTTGTCCACTCAAAACTATCTGTTACCTTTTCAGGCAACTGGGCCTCGACTTCCTTCTTGAGCCGCCGGAGCAGGAAGGGCCGCAGCACTTTGTGGAGACGACGGATGATGAGAATGGTTTCCTCCTCGTTCAGGTCCACCTGGCACCCCCATGAGACAAGCAAACCGAGGTTACCTCCAAAGGAAAGGGGTGGGGATGGGGTGAGGGGGGTGCACAGGGCCATCTAGAGTCACCTTGCCCTCAGCACCTGTTTCAGGATGCCTTATGCTTTAAGGGGCATGGTGGGGCACCCCCTTCCTTTAGAAAAGTGTAAGGACGTGGGACCTTCCACGGAATTCCTAGTGTGTAGAAACCAAGGCTCCAGGGAACCACACCCCATAGGCCTTACTAGGAAAAGAAACACACAGCACACCAGGCTGCCTCCCCACAAATAATAGAAACTCATGTGTCTGGAGACCCGCCAACATATCCCAAGGAAAGTGGGACAGAACCACATTTACAGAACATTTGCTGTAAAATGAATGATCCTCTTGGGGGGCTCTGTTGCTGCGAGCCCTAAATCCTCTCTCATTTCAGCATAGCAGGGACAGAGGGAAAGAAACGCTACTCTCCCAAGGTGTCTGCTATGATGCTAACAAATTCAACTCTTAAAAATTGGTTGGCTCAGTTGGTTAAGCATCTGACTTCGGCTCAAGTCATGATCTCATGGTTCATGAGTTTGAGCCCTGCGCAGCTTGGAGCCTGCTTCAGATTCTCTGTCTCCTTCTCTCTCTGCCCCTTCCCCACTCGTGCTGTCTCTCTTTGTCTCTCAAAAATAAATAAATGTTAAAAAAAATTTTTTTTAAAAAGGGGCGCCTGGGTGGCTGAGTGGGTTAAGTGCCCAACTTCAGCTCAGGTCATGATCTTACAACTTGTGAGTTTGAGCACTGCATCAGGCTCTGTGGCGACAGCCAGAGCCTGTAGCCTGCTTCGGATTCTGTGTTTCCCTCTCTCTCTACCTCCCCAACTCATGCGCAAGCATGCTGTCTCTCAAAAATAATAAACATAAAAAATAAAAATAAAAAAGTCAAATAGACCAGACTTAAAGTTATCTTTCTTGGGCCCCCTGATAACCTCATAGTAGAGTTCTAGAACTGCTGCTAACCTTGAAAATAAATGAAACAAGAGCCATATGCTTGGAATGAGGGTCCTGGGGGTCTGAAAACTGGGGGCTCCTCCTGGAAAAGCCACAGTCTCCTTCAGAAGGGCTTCTGTCTCCACTGGAGCCAGGGAGAGGGGGCCTCGTGGATGACAGTAAGGTGGCCCCAGCTGACCTGGACCTGCCCATGGAGACCCTCAGGACTGGGAACCAGCTGGCTGGGCCAGAAACACTGGTGGCCCCACGGAGCCCAGCCACCGAGGGCAGTGACACTCCTCATTAACCTCCAACCTCTGCAATTGTGTCCCATTCCTCAGTCACCAGGTTCTAGCCATGCAGCCTCATTCGACAGAAAACATGACCTGCCCATAAGCCCCCCTCAAACCCCAACAGCACAGGAGGCGTGCACTGGGAGCCGGCTTGGAGACTTCATCAAGCAATGAACACCTGGTTCCTCAGGCCAATGTCTGGTCTTCAGGCTGACAATGCCATCCACAGCCATGTAGACACGGAGAGACGTTAATCACAGTGGTTGTTAAAAACAAAGTATACAGAATCTGACTGTGTTGCTGTCTTAACTAAAATCTTCTGAGACTGCTGCTACCCTTGGGGTGAAATCTGATCTCTCTAGAAGGACCAACAGGACCCTTGGGACATGGACCCAGCGCCACAGCTACCTTAGGGCCATATTCCTTGCTGTCCCCTCCCTGGACCTGAGGCACAGGATCAGGAAATCCCCGAGTGACTCCCCAGAGTTCACTCTCACGATCTCCGCCCTTCAGTTTCGGCACCGGGGCCGCTTTGCCCCATGAAGACATGGCCTCCCGCCCTGGCATCCAGCGCAAGCCTGGCCTGCTGTGGGGGGCACTCAGCAGACACCTGAGAGAAGCCAGCCGAGCCTGGGACTGTCCACTTGGGCAAAGTTCCCATGACCACGGCCCCCCCTCCCTGCCTTACCTACCGCCAGCACGGAGCCAACTGCACACACACACCTTTTCCCCAGTCATGGCAAAGGGCGCGTTGAACCACTGCTCGAAGGTGCTGCAGCTCTTGAAGATGGTGGGCAGCAGGAAGTTGAGGAGCGCCCAGAGCTCGGGCAGCTTGTTCTGCAGCGGCGTGCCCGTCAGCAGCAGGCGGCGGGGAGCCACGTAGTGCGTGTTGAGGACCTGCGTCAGCTTGCAGTGGTGGTTCTTCATGCGGTGGCCTTCATCGACGATCATGTACTTCCAACGGATCTGTGGGGCCCCAGAGCAGGAGGTTGTGTGGCGGGGGGGGGGGGCACAGGAAGCAGCAGTGTTGCCCCTAGCTTAGCAAGAATGTCCCAACTCTCAGGCAAGCCTCCAGCCGGAACAACAGATTTAGGTGAAGAACATGGGCGTAACAAGTTCCCCTGACAAGCGACAGCCACATAACAGGGCCTCCGTGAAGCAGGCGGTGCAGACAGACACACAGAAAACATGCCCGTGTCCCACTGTCGGGCGAACGACGCACTTTTCAGGAAAGTACTCTAGTTTCCCCCCAGATTACATATGCTTGGACGCAGCACAGAAAAATACTACAAATAACACACCTCTCGCCGATTAGAGGGCCCTGGGCTGGGGGTGGGGGGTCTACAGGGGACGTGGCTCAGAAGTGGGTACATTTTCCAACCACCAGGCTGTGCCTCTCAAGGCAGTACTAGTACAGGTAAGTTCAGAATGGGAGCTCCGAGGGGCTGGGGCTGGGGCTGTGCCCAGAGCCTGCTGCTGACCACAGGACCGACAGACACTGGCTCGATGTCCAGACTCACGGTGAGCCTGAGTCTGCAGGACACCGTGATGAGCCTCCCAACTGCTCCGTGCTTCAGCTCCGCCCTCCCGTGGACACAGTGACGCCTGAGACAGGCGATGCGTGTCAGGTGACCGGACTGAACAGGGCAGAGCTGACAGGGGCAGGGGAAAGGGAGCCGTCTCCCAGGAGGAGTCCCCGTCACTTGGCCTTGACATCCATTAATGCCGCTGCCAGGTAAGGACTTTCTCAGGCTCGGGACGGGCCAGGCTTTGCAGGGTTGGAAGGGGTGGCCTGCACCACAGGCATGAGGGGAAGAGCCTGCTCATGGACCCCAGCCCCCTCATCTGTACACCGGAGATGGGTATGGAGCACCCGAATCGTCACAGCGACGAAGTCCCTACAGGTGACCTGTGAACACCTCCATCCCTGAGTCAAAAATTCGATCACCCGACCTAACCTGTGCTGGATGGTTAGTGGTCAGAACACCTGCATCATCTTCAGCCTCCAAACCAGGAAAGGTGACCTTTTTGTAGGCAAGGGACCATGTGAGTTTTATACCCGGGTCAAGGTATGGTCTCAGTGATCCACCGATGGCCTGACTACAGCTGCCTTCACAACAGTGTCACTCAAGAGGCTTCCAGGCCTGCAAGACCCCCAGCAAACACATGCCAGCCCGAGACCGATGGAGCACGAGTCCTCAGCCCTGAATGCCAAAATCATAGTTGCTTTGTGGGCTTGGGTCCTGAGGGCCACGGTGGGGGTGGCACAGCCACCCAGGATGGAAGGCCACGGCCACCAGACCCAGGCAGAGACAAGGCTGGCCTCACCCTTACCCTGCCAGGCATAATGAGGACAGGACTGGTGACGGGTCAGGAGGTACCCTATGTGAGTAAGCTCTTTGGGCAGAAGTTCTTAGAAGCTAGTCTGCATGACACACACACGACAACCCTGGATCAGGTGCTCCCTGACATCACGTGACTGTCTGGGGCTTGGTGTGTTTTACACAAGGACATACTACCTTTGCAAGGATGTGCTTGTCTTTAATGATGTACTCGTAAGTCGTCAGCAAGACGTTGAACTTGCCACTTCGGAGCTGGGGGACAAAAGCACGCCTGGCTGCTGGAGAACCCTGCGAGGGAGAGAAGGCACACACGTCTCAGCCTCCTGAGGCCACGGCGGCTGACACCTACCTCGCCGGGGCTGCCACAGAAGGGCGCCGGGCAAGGCTGTTGGGCCTGTCCTCCAACTTGTCGCCTGCGCTACACCTACCCCCTGCTCAGTGACCCCATCAGCTCCCTCCTCTTCCCAGGCCTCCTCTGAGGCCTCGAAGCTGGAAACCAGGGCCTCTGCCCCCCGGGCCTCCTGTGCTCGTGCGGGCGCCGTGAGCACTCCCAGACACGTAGCTCCAGCCTTCTCCCCAGTTAGCAAACCTGCCCTGCCCCTCCCCAGCTCCAAACTCCAAACTGAGCCTGTGACCAGGGCCCCAGGATGCAGACACGGTGCTTTCTCCAGGCTCACGTTCCAGGTTGATGGAGCTTTGTTGGGTCCCAGGAGTTCTTGCCAGCAGAACGATTCTTAGCTCCTAAATGCACCAAGCTCCCCCTGCCCACACTGTTCCCAGTGTCGGGACCCCCTCCTCCACATCATGTGGCCCAGAGCCTCCCGGCACAGGGTGAAGAGCCTGGACCTAGGAGCCTGGCAGCCAAGGACAAAACTGGGCTGCCCTCTCTGCTTCAGTTTCCCCACTGACACAAAAGGCACAATAAGTGTCTTCCTCGCGGGGTGAACAAGTCCCATGTCCCACAGACCACAGTACACTCATTGAGTCTTTCTACGTGAATGGGTTTTATCCAAAGCCGGGGTGACAAGAACAAAATCTTGCAGTGAACGCGCTGATGTCACCGGATGCCACATGTTGAGTCCACGGCATGACTTAAAAAGAAGCATCACCGTGAAATAAACGATTCAAACCCCTCACAAATAGCATGGTCCCGTGTGTACAGCACAGGAAAACGTGGGCGTACGCACCCTGTGAGTCATGCAAGTGGACTGCCCTCCC